TGTGTGGTTTCAGTAGATTTCTGGACCACCTCCCATGCATCACATGATATAAGCTGCAGCCAAACACCTAAGAATGCCTCAGCTGGGCTTCCCAGCGCATGATGCACGGAGTTCAGCGCTTCAAGATTGGGTCAGGTTTGGTCTTTGTCGCCACCTACCCCTCCCCAAGCTAACCTGGATCCTAGAAACCTGAGCCCTAAACTCTAAATNNCTAAATACTAGTTTCCGTTTTCTTTTGCATTATCCCAATATAATCCCAATATACTATAGTAGTTTCCATTTCCTTTTCCATTAGCCCTTAGGGATCCACCGAAGGGGCGCTGTGAAGTTGACGACCATTCTTCCAAAACTTCGTGTCTGGGCCTCCATGCTTGGTACTCCACACAGTGATCCAAGCCATGTGCTAGGCGTACCCCACACCCTAAAGACTTGACCTCTAAACCCTGAACCCTAAAGCCCAAAGCCCTAAGCCCTTATCTTATCCCTAAACCCTAACTTGGGGTATCCTGGAACTCTAGTCGGGACATAGGTACACGCGGGGCAGCACCCCCAAAAAGCTGCAGATGTCGAGGGCATGCGCTATTGGACGCATAATCCCGACTTGGAATCCTTCAAGGGTCTAGGTTTAGGGTTTGTTTAGGGTTTAGGGACCCGAATCAGGGTGCATGAAAGGGTGGATGCGCATATGTAATGTCTATATGGTACTACAGGGGTTCTTATTCGGAATCATACGGGGACTGTGTTGAGAAACCCCGACACCCTAAGGGTTCAATGTCAAGTACCCAATAAACGTATACACACCTCAAGCCTGTACCACAATTACTAGTGCCCAAATCCCATGCACCTAATTATTGGCTACTTGGACCCTTAGTGATATAGATGGTGTGACAGTCAATCCTGCGAAGGAATCTTGGCGACCGCTTTCCTTGCTTTGTCTGGTCGCCACATGCAACAGCAGCTTGGGATAATTAAAGGGACTTTAATGGGAACCCCAAACAGGGAACCCCAAGAACATAGTAGGAATATAAAAGAATATAAGGACACTGACGGGTATATTCCCATTATATTCCTACTATAGTCTTGGGGTTCCCTGTTTTGGGGTTCCCATTAGCGACCCTTTAGTTAAGGCTCTGCCTGGGCGCACTGAGGGCTAATGGAAAAGAACATGGAAACTACTATAGTATGTTGGGGCTATATTGGGATAATGGAAAAGTTTGACAATGGAAGCTACTATAGTATATAGGGGTTATACTGGGATACTGGAAAACAAATGGAAGCTGCTATAATGTATTGGGGTTATACGAATGGAAAAGACAATGGGAACTAGTACTTAGGGTTTATTGAGGTTTTGCGGATGTCTTGGGTGAACTCAGTGTGGAGGTTCGGACGTATGCACTACATGTATACTAGCTCTGTGGGTGGAACTTGGGCTTGGTGTTTAAGGTCAAAGGCCTACGATCTCGAGATTAACTGCTCAAGTCACATCACTGTGGCCCGTAGTGCTAAAAAGTTTCGAACGCAGCAACGTGGCACATGAGGAGTGCCTCAGCATACGAGCCCTGCTGAAGTCAAACCTTGAAGCACGGACCCTACGACTGCCACACCCTCGATCGCAAAAGCCCTGTGCTGAACCCCATACTTGGCTTCTGTTTTTGTGATAGCATTAGATTCCTGTTCGGGTTTTATTCTAATACAGTTCGAGCTCATTGCCACACATGCCCCAAACACCTTAAAACTTGCAGTCCCTTCTCAAGGGTTACACTCTAAGCCAAGGCGTCCCAAAAGCCGAATCCTCACCCTACACCAAAGCTGTGCCACAATGCCGCATGACGTAGCAATATGTACACAATATAGATAGATATGCTGGGTAGGCCCCTGGGATATTTACTATTTTCCCTAATGGCTTTAATAAGGGACCCTATATACAAATATTTTTCAAAGGGTTTTAGGGGCCAACCCAGTATGGGTGGGTCTACTTGACATCACCAAGTTGGTAACTCCACGCAAATGTTGTTGTACCTGCTCAGTAGGAATAGACCCCTGTACCCGGCGGACCCTGAGCTACCTTCCCTAAGGGTCCAAGGACCCAAATAATAGGGTTTTAGGGCCCAAATACTATAATATTTATGGTATTTGCACCCTAAACCCCTATTATTTGGGTCCTTGGACCCTTAGGGTTAATCCTAACCTAGACATCCCAACCATACCCTTTAACCCTCCCGCGTGGGCTGTAGCCCCTTCCTGAACCCCAACAAGTATGTAAAATAATCGCCTTAAACACCTAAAAACAGCCCAAAAGGCTGGTATATGCTGGTATCTTACATGCCTTTGGGGTCCAGGTTCTGCTTATTCTTACGCTTACTATGGGATTTGGGAGGTCGAAGGCAAGCCGCGAGCCCTAAGTAAGTCCTGAGCCCCCCAAGGATGGATCCGCAAAGCTCATGAAAGCCCTATCCCTAAGGGTCCAAGGACCCAAATAATAGGGTTCCTTTAAAGGGGTTATAGGGGGATATATAAGGATATATGGGAACTATATAAGGGTNNAGGGCCCAAATACCATAGATATTATAGTATTTGGGCCCTAAAACCCTATTATTTGGGTCCTTGGACCCTTAAGGCATAACTCCTCACCCCTCAGCGTTTCGGGTTTAGAGGTTTGGGGTTTAGTGTTCAGAGTTCAGGGTTTAGGCTTTGGAGTTGGCTCTAATTTCTACCTGCACCCTGGATGTCTAGGATTTGGGGTTCAGGGTCTGGGCACAACAGGCAGGACGTCCAGGGTCCAGGTAAACCCTCAACCACATCATCATTTTTGCCGAGTATTAGTGGGAAGCCCCAGTCGCCAAACCCCAACCCCCACGCCTCGAATTAAACCCTAACCCCTAAACCTAAAACCTTTTACGTACCTCCAAACCTGGACCCAAACCCCCACCCTAAACCCTAAACCCAAACCCCCAACCCCTTCCCCCTCTCCCCGCTCCGTCCTGGACCTTTTGTCACCAGATCCCGGGCGTGCGGCGCGGGACAGACGGCTGCCTCCCGCAGTCTGGCACTGCAAGAAGAGCTGCAGAAACACGGGCTCTTTGGCTACTTCAGTGTTTCTTGGGTGTCTAGGATTTTACAGATGTAGGGTTTTAGGTCTTAGCACTTTTGGGGATTTGTTGGTGTTCTTTGGCGTTTTGCAGGGTTTAGGGTTGCCCATTTCGGGTTTCGAGTCTAGGGTTTTCAGGTTTTTGGATTCAGGGTTTGGGAGGTTTTGTATTTTGTCGGGGTTGTCATATCTTTCAGCGTTGCAGGGCTTTTGTAGCGGTTCAGCTGTTGCAGGTTTACGGTGTTTTTGGGTTGGGGTGTGTTCAGTTTCAGGAAATCAGCTTTCTAGAGTTGTTAAGGACTACCTGGACCTCCAAAGTATGCGAAATCATGGCCTTTAGGGCTGTTGTTCGGGGTTTAGGGCTATTGTTTTACATACTTTTGGGGTTTAGGTAAGGACTGAGGGATCAAGGCTTGTAGGACTTCAGAGTCGTGGTTGTCTAGGGATTCGGTCCCGGTGTTTCTTTAAAACATGCTTTGAGTGCTGGCGAGGGCTATTAGTTGTTGGGTTTCTTTAGGCTCTAGGATCTAGTTTCTCCTTTTTGTAGGGTCTGAGGTTTTAGGGTTTGGGGTTGTAGGTCCAAAGATGCGAGTAGCCCAAAGCAGTTGCAGTTTCTGGCTTAGGGCTCAGGTTTTAGGGCTAAGGTTGTTTAGACATGAATGTTCAGGGTACGGTTAGGGTTGAAAGTCAAACGACACCATCATGAGGCCTTAAAATCCTTTCGAACATCCTCTTTTGAGAAGCTCCTAGAACCAAAGGCCAGTTGGTAGGGTGTGCCGCAGTTGTTCAATTCTCTTGTAATGTGTGAGATGGACGGGCTGCTCAATACACGGAGGGACCCCCTAAACCCTAAATGCGGTACCAGGTACTGTGCATTCAGTAAGCTCATCAACCCCAAGCCCTTATCTCCAAACCCTGTTTGTTAGTTTCTGTTTTCTTTTCGTCTTATGAACGTACTTCCTAAGTCCTCGATGACCCTGAACCTACCCGATAAACCCTAAACGGCGAACCCTACGTATTTATGTGTGTGTATATATATATGGATATGTACATAGAACATTGTATTTTCTGTCTTTCTTATAAACCACCAAGCCCCTTTTACCCTAACGCCTAAGCCGTATCTTTCAAAGTTCCCCTCCTGCAGCCTACATCCTGAAAGATAAATTTGAAACCCAACATCCCAGACCGCAAGCCGTACCTGGACCCCAAAAGTATGTAAAATAATGGCCTTTATGGCTATTATTAGGGGTTTAGGGTTATTATTTTACATACTTTTGGGGTTTAGGGACACGCCAGACCCTGTAGGATTAGTTTCGAAGAGCTGGACCGGCCTCCCCACGACCCGCTGCTTTATCCAGCCATTCGGTGCTGTCGGGCTTTCATCTGCCCGAACAGTGAGAAGGCTCGGATTTAGAGTTTCGGGTTAACCCGAAATTTGAGGCCCCGAAACCCTCCATGCCAAACGGTTTGGGGTTTACCTAAACCCCCAAAGTATGTAAAATAATAGCCCCAAACCCCCAATAGTAGCCATAAAGGCCATTATTTTACATACTTTTGGGGCCCAGGTTGGGGTTTAGGGTTCAGAGTTTGGGATTTACTGTTTGCGTCTTCGGGTTGAGGGAGCTCAAGGCTCAGGATGTCTGATTAAGGCTATTTAGGGTTTAGGGTTTAGGGTTTAGGGCTTAGGGTTTAGGGTTTAGGGTTTAGGGTTCAGGCTTACCCTAAGGGTCCAAGGATTCAAAGAATAGGGTTTTAGGGCCCAAATATTGTAATATTTATGGTACTTTGGGCCCTAAAGCCCAATTATTTGGGTCCTTCGACCCTTAGGGTTAAACTATTCTGAAAGAAGGCCGGCCGTTTTAAGCCCCGGGCTACAAGGGATCCTTGGTCCCTCTGCGGGGTTCGGTGTAGGGTTTAGGGTTTTAGGAGTTTAGGACTTTGAGAGGGATTTAGGATTTAGTGTTTGAGGTTGTGAATTTGGAATTAAGGGCTGAGGGTTTGGCATTCTGGGTGCAAAGTTGAAAGCTAGGGTATAGGATTTGGGAAGATTGAAGGTTCGGCGCGGGCGTTTGCTTCAAATCGTCGGTCCCTTTTCAAGTAGGGGACCGCGACTGCTTATAAGTCGTTTCCGTGGTTTCTTATACGGTTCAGGTTTTTGGGTTCCGCCTACTTGGAGTAACCCAGCCCTTAACACGCAGCAGGGGCCAAACATGTTACATAGGGCAGGGGGCTACTGCAGCAACCCCCACATGACAGAGGCCTACCGGCTCTATCTGAGTTCCCTAAAGCCTACACCTGAAGACCGAAACCTTAGATCTTTAATCTCTGAGCCCTTCAAATGCCAAGCTTTTGAAGCTTAACCCTAAATCCTCAGCCTAAACCCCAAACCCTGAACCCTGAACGCTGAACTCTAAACCCTGAACCCTAAACCCTGAACCCTAAATCCTAAGCCTCAACCTCCAGCCCTTAACTCGAACAGTTCAGTCCCAACTCTACATGCCTAGCTAGCCAATAAACTCCTAGTTCCGGGGTTCAAGGCTATTGTTTGTAGTACAGGTACTTTCGGAGGCCTAAGTCGTCGCCAGTACTATCCTGTAGGATCATACCCCGGAAAGCCCTATTCTAATTGAATAGGCTCTGCACCTAGCAATCCCCCCCTTTCCATGTCATGTTCCATTTTCCACGCGTTGCTCTACTATTCTGAGTATCTGAGGCCCGTCTTTTCCTGTACATCCATTTCCTTAAAGGTCCAAGGACCCAAATAATAGGGCTGTAGGGCCCAAATACTATAATATCTATGGTATTGGGGTCCTAAAACCCTATTATTTGGGTCCTTGGACCCTTAGGGTTTCACCCCTTCTAGCACAGGCGCTACGCGTGGCCAACCGCCCCGGCCGCGCAAAGGCGGTAGCAGCGGGTGTGGTTGGCCTGCTACGCAGCGCCGAGAAGGCATCGATTGGGTTTTAGCGTTGAGGGTTCAAGGAATCAGGATTCCCTTCTACATATATATAGTCCTCCACTTTACGTAGATAGAATATGGGGTATATGGGGATTCTATTATAATATACCCCAAGCCATATTCTACATCAGGGGGACTATAACTTGTGTTTCCCTCTTGGGCACTTGGACCCTTACAGACTCATGCTCCAAACTCAGACCTTGGGAGCCCTGAAGCCTGAAAGCGTGAACTCCATTAAGGGGTTTGAAGGTTAGTATTTATGTAAGCTATACTCTCAACTCCTAGCCCAAAAGGGGCCTGACAAAGAGAGCTGTCCTTTGCAAAGGGCTCCGCATCAGCTTGCATGTTTGATGATTGGTTGAGGGTAAATTCCCCCTAAACCCTAAGCCCTAAACTCTATAAACCCTAAACCCTCGGCCCTAAGACGCATCCGACAGCTCAATGGTAGTTCGTCGGGAACGGAGGAATGGGCTCCGCGTAACACAGTGATTTCTATTTTCTGTGCCACTCCTTCATTCCTAAATCCGGAACCCTAATCTTCAAATCCCAAACCCTAATTAAGCAGCAGGCCTTCATGTTCTCACCATCCGTTCCTTCGTTCCCTTCCCAGCCCTACGCCCACATCGAAACCCTAAGCCTAAGTAGCACTCTCTGCATTCTGCCCCATGCCATCATTGCCTACCCCGCCCTACCCCAAACCCAAGCCTTCAGTAACAAGTTCCCTGTTCTTTTGCATTCTCTCGTTCCTTGCCAACCACCAGCCAGCAACCAGCACATTTTCCATAAGCCCTAAACCGTAGATGTCACTGTAACACCATAGCTTCCATGCAATTGTCATTTTCTTTTGCATTTGATGCCCATTTATTGGGCCCTCACACCCTCAACGCTAAAACCTAAATCCTAAGCCCTTCTCCATTTTGGGGGAGGAATTTCAACCAGCCTCTAAACCCTAAACCCTAAACCAAAACACGCGGAGGAGAAAAAGTCCGATAGAAAAATCAAAACACACCTCAGGTACTAGATACTTTGGGCCCAAATGGGTGCCTATGTAGGTACCTTGGGCCCTGATTACATATTTTTGGGGAAATTTGGACATTTAGGGTAAACTCTAAACCCTAAACCCGGAGAGGAGGCCATCGCTTGGGAGGAGGAGCTGACCCTGACGCGGCAGTCTCGCTCGCAGGATCCGCGAAGAGGGGGATGCTTATACAGGTTGTTGTTATTCAGGGTTTAGGCTGCTATATGGGTAATTCCCCAAATGGGAGTCCCATTTTGGTAGCCCTAAGTTAGGGTTTAGGTGCCGCAATATAATCTATAACCAAAAGGGGCCCACAATTTTGAGAACAGCCTATGTTGATTCAGGTTGTAAGGTTTTAGGGTTAAGGTTTAGGATTGTAGGGTTCAGGGTCTAGGGGGTTGCAGTTTAGCGGTGTATGGTTCTAGGACTAGGGATCTAGGGACTTGGGGCTTCAGGAAGTTTAGGATTTAAAGTGTAGAGGCGTATATAGGCTTCAAGATAACAGAGGGGTTGTGAACTCAGATTTGAAATTAGGTCCCCATGTGAGGATTATACCCTAAGCCTAAGACCCTAAACCCGGTGGATGGAGGAAGCCCTGCACCATTTGAAGCCCGAAGACTCACCCAAATCCGTCATTTCAAGGTCTAGAGTTTCGCCTTTGGGCTTAGGGTTTAGAGTTTATGTAGAGGGGCGCATCATTTCCTGCATGCACAGTAGGGAAGTGAGTCTTTTCCAACAAGGGGTCCTTTCTGTGCGTCCCTACAATGGGATTTTCAGCACTGTTATTTGGATGAAGGGGAGACCCTTGAGACCAAGGCCAGAGATCAAAGCCTGAAAGCCTGGGAGAGTTTCCCCTAAACCCTAAACCCTAGATTGACATGCAAAGGACCTGCTACCTCTGACGCTGGTGATCGACTGCGTTCGTTCAACTCAGACACTTGGGTTAGGGTTTAGGGTTTAGGGTTTAGGGCAACCAACAATTATCAACCCCATATGAGGGTTTCAATGAATAGGAGGCCACAAGATAGACCCCAATACAGAAAATGAATGATGGTGACTCTACAAACGGGATACTTCATTCTGCGAACTCCATATATACCACGTCAAAGTCCACGTATGCCAAATGGCCCAATTGTTTGTACGCCCCTTATTCAGGGTTCTGTGTGTGTTTGTGTTTGGAGGAGTAGATCCACTTCGAGGTATGGGGCATGGGGGGCCTCCAAGTGACGCCATGTGTCGTAAGGGCGTTGTCGAGAGCCTTCTGTTAAGAATTGTGCAGTTATCACTACCGGAAACTCTCTCAGGGGTATTTTAATTGCCCTAGCACCCAACTAAACAGATACTTCACTTGAAGCTCAGTATGGAAGTATGAATGCCCCAAATTCCATATATCTCATTGTTGGGTGGGGTTTCTAGGCTTGGAGTCAGCGCCCCGGTTTCGAAAAAAGTTAGTGAGCATGAAAAGACGTGGGCTTTTGTTTTTGTTGCAACTCTCCCTAAACCCTAGCCCCCGTAAATCTCCTCTGGGCTGACGCGAGATGTTACCTGCAGGGGTCAGGTTGTCACGCTAAGCCCTAAACCATGAACCCGGGTCAACATTAGCAAATGTCGTTGTAGATGTAGTCGCCTAGGCCTGAGATCGATTGACTATTTGACTTCTTTAAAAATGCCCTTGCAGCACCTTCTTGTGGAAGGGGCTTTCGACCTCCAGCCCCAAACCTTAAGCCTTAAACCCCATTTACTCCCTGAACCCTAAACCCTCACCTGAACTCACCCAAGATGCACAGGAATGTGACATCACTGCTGGAGACATGCGCTATGGCTGGGGTAGGGGAGGTGGTTTTCTGCGGAATCACGCCCGCTCCTCCAATGCTGCCTGGATTGAATATGAGAAGGCTTTTCATGTGAGTAGTATTTTATTTCGGGATACTCTGGTACCCATTATAGAATAAGATTCTATCCTCCTTTTGGGGTATAGTATAGTATTTTATATAAGGAATATTGACTTACTGGGTTTAACCACCAAAAAGACGCTTCTCATGTGAATATTGTATCTTCCAAGATAGAGTGAGATGATAAAACTGTGTTGGTTGCAGCGCTTGAAAAAAAGGATGTCTCACTTGGTTCTACCAGCAAAGCATGTTACTCAATTGGGTGGACGTTGGGTTAAAAAGTCCAGACCTAGGTCCAGCGGTCTAGGCATCCCTACGGTTCAAACCGTCGCCGTACGAATGTACGCTTTCTTAGGCTCGGTGTCAATGTGTTTGAAAAGTCCTAATCTATCAGCTGATCTCTCTAGGCACTAAATTTCAGGGTTTAGGGTTTCAGCAAACCTGTCACTTAGGCTCCCCACCCCTGGGTGATACTGCCAGAAGCTTACTGATGACTCCTCTTAGCTTGCCTCCATTCACACTACAACCAAGAACTCTGCTGTTCAGATGTCACATTGACGACTCTACGGGACCTCATGAGAATGCGTTTCCGAAGTAGGGTCTTACATGCTTACATCCTGACACCTCAGCAAGTCCGAGCACCTGCACAGCCATATGGTCAAGGCTTCAGGTTCAGGAAAGATGTAGGATTGAGGGATTTCAGCCTGAGTGCTTAGGGATTTGAAATCAGTGTTTCGGTGTCTGGGGATGGAAGCACAGGGTTTAGGGCGCACGTTCGAGGCTTACAATGGTTGCCGCTTGAATTTGAAGCTGCTTACCTCTGAGCTCTTCAGGCTTCATGTTCCTGTTTCTTATTCGAATTCTTCCCTGAAGTTCCTAGGACCTGAATCTTCAGAACCTCAACGTCTTCCCACGGCCACCTCTAATTACGAGGATGCTAGAGGCCTAACTCAAGGACCATGATTTGGACAATCTACCTTGAAATGTTAGAGGTAAACTTGGGGCAGCATAAATTGGGGTGCGCATACAATCCAGTCATTCTCAAGACAAGAACACATAATATAAAACCCTGAAAGCCCAGTTTACATTTAGTTTTCCATATTCTTTTCCATTTGATTCTCCATTATAGCCTTTTGTAGGGACTACGGTATAATATAGTAGCTTCCATTGTCTTTTGCATTATCCCAATATAACCCACATATACTATTAGTAGTTTCCATTGTCTTTTCCATTATCTCAATATACCCAGCTCTGGCAGCAGCTCAAACCTGGCTTTCATCCTTAAGCGCACAGGGCTTAGGGTTTAGGGACCCCAAACTCAGATGTGGGATAGACCTGGGTCAACATAGCGCAAAACCTCCTTCTGGTCGTTGGCACTCATCGCCTGAAACTGCTCCATGAGGTATTCCATCCTGCGGCGTGCGCGTGCTGCGGCGGCGCAGGCTACTTTTGGGTTTGGAAGTTGAGGACTTTGGATTTGGGATCTTAGGGTATGAAGTGCCCGAGGAGTCGAATGCCTAAACCCTAAACCTGTGCCAAAAGGGTTCATGAAAGGATGACACGACGAAGAGCTAAGAAGGGGGGGTGCCATGGGTTGTCCAAGTCCCCAGATACCCAGAAGATGCTTACAGGTTTAGGGTTTAGGGGTTTAGGGGTTTAGGGTTTAGGGTTAGGGTTTAGGGTTTAGGGTAAGTGGGTCCCCATAGAAATCCCTATAGCGCCCTCCCTACACCCTAACCCTTAAACATATTCACTCCACTGCGTCGCCTGAAGCACCAGTAAGGGTTTAGGGTGGAGGCCCCTAAGCCCAAAAGCCTAGATCCTAAACGCTGGGCACATACGTGCAATTGTCTGGCTGGTTTTGATGCCTCTCTTGGGCCGTGCAGTCTTGCATTTCCTTCGGACTCCGCCGGACCAAAAAATCCGGTAAAACAAGCTAGACCCCCAAAATCCCATTTTCTAGGCGTGTTGCTGCTCTGCCTTCGGCCAGGTTCCATCAAGCTATGCTGTGTCGGGGAAGGATGCAGTCTTACGACTACAGGCGGCTTAGAGTCAGGGCTGTCAAGGTTGGGGTTTAGGGTTTTAGGGTTTAGGGTTTGGGGCTTAGGCCTTGGGTTTTAGGGTTTAGGGTTTGGGTTTTCGAGTTTTAGTCTTGGGGTGGAAGGCTTAAAGGTTTGGTTTAGGGTTCTTCTTGAAGTTCAGGGTTCAAGCCTGCAGGCTTGGGGTTTACAGGCGAGGAACAGTAAAGGATTGTGCCTGAACCCCAAAAGTATATAGAATAATAGCCTTTGGGCCCTTAGTAATGGCTTTCGGGGCTATTTTTAAAGGTCTTGGGCCATTATTGTACCTACCTTGGGGTTCAGGTAGGGCATCTGTCTCCCGCTTTTTGCTTTTAAGAATTTGGTTGATGGTGCTGCCCTCCCCTAATGCTAGAACCCCTACTCCCCCAATATTCAACATGCCCGCCTTAGTCTACAATACTATACCGGGCATATTTTATGTCAGAGGACTCGCAGGGGGGGGGGGGCATGGTAGGGGGAGGGCATAGTAGGGAATTCTGAAGTTTAGGGCTTGCAAGAGGCATGAGCCGCAAAAAACAGCTGGAGCTCTCGAACGGTAAGCCCTAGGGTTCACGGTTGAGGGTTTAGGGCTTAGGGCTGGGTAATGTTTTTTAGGTCCTATAGTCCACAGTTCTGAGTAAGATTATCGTCTCGGATTTGGTTGTGGTTTTTGATGAAAAGAATATATCTTTTCTGTGCCCAACCAGCAGAAACATTACTTCGTAGAAAGCCAGGCTGGGAAAGTATATTATATATAAGTCGAGAGAATGTTGTTGTTGCCATCGTCCACCGGTCTTGTTGGCATGTAGGAAATTCAGATAAGTTCTTTAAAGATCCCATACACGTTACGCACATATCCCCTACCCGTACACGGTGAACCGACCCCCCCCAAAAAAAAGTCTTGCAAATTACATAATTCATAAGTACAAGTTATAGGACTTCTAACCGTACTCATCCCTGTGATATCCTATGACAAGCAACTTGTAACCCAACTCAAAACACGTCGTGGGCTCTAGTAGTGCTGTGGCACTTGGAGGCCTCAGGCTTTTGCGTCTGGGCGCTGGAGACAACAACGCGTGCCGCGCCACTGGAGCGTCTTGAACTTCCTTCCCAACCACTCGCTTTGCTCCTTGGCATGGTCCTGAACCCTTACCTGGACCCCAAGAGTATGTAAAATAAATGGCCGTTATGGCTATTATTAATGGGCTAGTATTGTGCATACTTTTAGGGTTTAGGTAATCCTTAAAACGCCAACCCTAAACCCTAAACCCCGGTTGCAGAGAGAAGGTTTGGTTCTCAGGGTTTTACGGGTTAAAGATTACAGAGGACTCATGCTCAAGAGTTGAGGCTGGGGGTTGATGGCATGGTTTATACGAACGAATTGTATAGGATTCAGGTCGGGAGTTTTGTGCGGGTTTTGCGCAAGGTTCCGTTTTAACGTTTCACCTATACAATTTGTGTTTATCTGGGGTTGAAGGTTTAGGGTTTCAGGGGTTTAGGTTTTAGGGGTTTTCAGCTTGCAGGCTTGGGGCTCAGCATGTAAAAGCACCAGTGACTGTGCCTTTGCCGTTCCTCCTACAATGGCGCCAGCAGCACCCATGCGGAAACCTGGTTAAACCCAAAACAGCTGCCGTTGATGAGGAAATTTTGCACCACGTGTGATATCTTAGCGACTGCAGTTGTTCCCAAACCCCTGACGCCCTAAACCTTAAACGGCGCATGTAATGCTTGAGTTGATGCCGCGTTCCCCCAAACAGCGCACCTTTTGTATAACTGCAGCTTTTGGCCATGTGAGCTATAGTCTAAACTCCTTAAAGGGGGTTATATAGGGGATTATATAGGGGATTACTATAGGGGCTATTATGGGGGATACTAGGAGTTTAGACTATGGTTCATGTCGGTTTACAAGGATCGTGGGCAACGAAAAATATGGCGTCTCAGTGGACGCCTTGGAGCCTCTTCTCATTATAACCCTAAGGGTCCAAGGACTCAAATAATGGGGTTTTAGGGCCCAAATACCATAAATATTATAGCATTTGGGCCCTAAAACCCTATTATTTGGGTCCTTGGACCCTTAGGGTAAGAGTCGGGAGTACGCCATGCACCATCAAGCAGGACATATGTATGACTGGGTCCAGTACAAGTTTTTTCTTCGATTAAGGCTACCTGCTTCATGTAGGTGTTTGCACTTTGGGGATTTTTGATGCGGTGGCCATGTGAGCTATAGTCTAAACTCCTACTATCCCTCTTAATAACCCCTTTAAGTCTATAAGACTTCCCTATATAATCCCTTATATAACCCCTTTAAGGAGTCCAGGCTAAAGCTCATGCGAAGCTCCGGGTGTCAAAGAGAGCAGGAGAAGGATGTTACCCTCCCCCAACGTGTACCTGGACCCCAAAAGTAGGTAAAATGGTGGCCTTTATGGCTATTATTAGGGGGGCCTTCACGCCATGACTGCGATTGACTTTGAAGAGTGTGCTTTTGAAGGTCATTGGGATCATCCTTCCCGCAGATTTGGAGTTTGATGCCCCCACCCTAACCCTCCCAGCTACAAGGAAGGCTACCCCCATCCGAAACATCCCAGCCCCAAAGAAGGCTAATGCTTCTCGGGGGTAGATTCTGTGCAGAGATACAGAAGGGCTGAGGGTTGCCAACGCGAAGCCCTGAATTTGAATCAGGTTTAGGCTTGGGGTTAAGAGGCTTAGGGGGGATGACCCTCGTTTTGGAGTCCATTTACTGAGAACAAAAGCATACTCAGATAGATATTGGGACCCAAATTTTCCGAGACACCAGTTTGTTGAGGTGATATGAAGAAGCTCATGTTTAGGCTATATTGGTTTCAGATACGCCCTAGACCCTAAACCCTAAACCCTAAACCGTTTAACCCTAAATGTTGATAATGACCTGGCGAACTCAGGAATGCTGCGATGAGCACGTTTGTATCACCACCGTTGGGATCAAGTGTGGCCCTTGGTTAAGGGCTTAGGGTTCAGGGTTTGGGATTTAGGGTAGGGTAGGGTTTAGAGTTTGTGGTTTAGGGTTTAGGGTTTAGAGTTTGGGGGTCAGGGGCCCACGTGCCGCAATCCTGCGGATGAGAGTTTTTCGCGCCTGAAGCCTATAAGCCTAAGCCCTGCATCCTAAACCCCAAACCGTAAACCTAAAGCGTAGACCATCTGATCAACTCTTGATATCCCCAGTAATAACCTCTATAGCGGGAGTTTAGACTCCAGCCCATGTGAAGATACTTAAACCCCTAGAGCTCCAGCAACCAGCCGCACTGAACACCTGAACCCAGGACCCTTGCCCATGGAATTAGACCGCTAAAGTATGCAGAGGAATGATCGTGTGGGCTGTGATTAGGGGCTTTAATTACCCCCCCAACTCGCCCAATCTAGGCAACATCTACAGACTTTAGGGCCCAAATTAGGACTTAGCCGTTATTTCTTGCAAGGAAAGCAGGTTTTCCAGGCCGGCAGCGATCTGCTTACAAGCACAGCTCGGACCCGAACCCAAACCCCAAACCAATCCCTAGAAGCCCAGGTACCCATATAGCAGGTCCTTGGGTTATAGATAGTATAAATTCATATAGGGACTTAAGGACAGGAACCCAATATGTAGGTAACTGGGCTTCTAGGGAATCAAAGAGCTCCTGAGCAGTTGAGGAACTCGCTGAATGTGGCTGTGGCTGGTAGCACCTGGGATGTGGCAAAAGATTTTGGGTGTTCAGTGTATAAGGCTTAAAACCAGGGATGTGCAGGTCTCATAAATATCTGCGGACTGCTCTTTCCAGATTCGCCTCAAACATGCCATACATAGTGGTTGAGGGGGATTTACGCTGGAGTTTAGCAGATTTATAGCCTGCTGTTACCCAGGCATCGCGGTGTTCGAGGTTGCGGCTTGGCTTGCCCAGTACGGGGTTGGATGTTAAGGATTTCGGATTTACGGTTTGCAAATTTTAGCATTTAGAAATCAGGGGTGAAATTGTTCAGTGTGTAAAGGGATGAGGGGTGCTCCAAGAGGTGCCACAGTGGAAGGTGTAGGTAAGGTTTTATTTCTTCTGGCTTGGGCTTCACTGTTTCGCAGCTTGGGGGTGGTTGATTGAGGATCAGTTGCCCTAAAGTGCCCAAATATTAGGCCTGAGCCACCAAAAAACATTCAGATTGTACCTAGTTTTGGGAAACCTAAAGCCCTGTTATTTGGGTGCCTCAGATCATCACACTAAACCTTAAACATATGCTGCAAGACGGCTGTTTACACGCTTGAATGGTGGTATGGTGGGTACAAGCGCAATCCCACATGACCCTAGTTGTTGTATATTGTGGGAATCATGGGAGCGTGTTAACGTTAACGTCAATGTAGGATTTGTGGTATCAAAGGTAGGACAAGGAAGGAGTATGGTGCCAGCTGAAAGGCTTGTTCCCTCAAACCGCGATGCCAACTCTTACATCAGAGGCCCGCCGCTTAGCTGCCTTGTAGCTTGGCTGCTTTTCTCTGACCCCCGCCCAGCTGCCTGCCGCTCGCGTAGCTCTACCGCATGGAAGTCGAGGGGGGGCGGGGGGTGCGCCAAGTTTCAGGCAGCGTGCCCTACTTTGAGGAACCTAACCCTGAGTGAGCCAAAAACCTTTTTCTATAGCACACTAAGCATCCGACCATGCTATTGGGCAGCTGTGGTTTGATACCCAGGTGCCCCCTGGTTCCTCAAAGTAGGGTGGGTGTTTTTTTAGGATGTCCTAAAGGGGGGTTGGTCCAAGGGGGGTAAGTAACCTAGAAGTCCCCATTATTCCCCAATACTCCATAAGCTTCCTTAAGGTTCCCCAAGGCTCCCTAGTACCCTCCCCACTTGAACCACCCCCCCTTAAGGATCCCATACTTGTTTGAAGACCCAGGCTTGGAGTTTGAGACTGACAGGCTTCAGGTTAAGGGTTCGGGGTTGAAGATTAGGGTTTATGGCTCCAGCTGTGGATATGGGGGATGGGATTGAGGGTTTTAGGGTGTAGGGTTTAGACTTCGTAAGATTGAACCCTAAACCCTAAACCCTAAACCCTGAACCCTAAACCCTGAGCCGGTTTTCAGCCTTGGCTCTGAGGGCTTGGGGCTGAAGGTTTCACGGACCCACATCACCTGTGAGGAGCGTTTTGATAACTCCAAGCCCTGTAAGGAAGACCCTATAAGTTACGAATTATAAGTGCAGATAGTCGAATTCAAAGGGTCCTTACTTTGGGTTGGGGCAACCCTGAACCCAGCTTGCGTTGGACTTGCTGCAGCTACCTGGAGGATTATTTTGTGGAGCCTAACTTCCAGGATGTAACCCTCTTCCCCGCGAGGGTTTAGGGGTCCAGGGCCTGCGCCCACCACCCACATAATTGCGTCCCCCTCCTTGAGCCCAAACAAGGGCGGCGCAAGATTGTTAATATTGTAGGCTCCCTCGAAGTAAAGCCCACTTACTCACGTAATCCCCGCGCCTCCGAAATCCCAGAGTACCGCATTTAGGCCCCTGAAAGTTCAAAACTCAATCCATTAATATGCCTTTCCACCCCACCCTTGTATATGGCTATAGCATACTGTACCTCAAAAACTCCGTTCCAATTGAGTAGGCCCCTGCATACAGCTGTATAAACCCCTTGTCAAGCTCAGCTTCCGTTTCATGTAACCCTAGACCCTAAATCCAATTCTCCCGTCTGGTTTTCATCAACCAGCATTCTCACTATCTGGGCCTCCACAGTCCACAGAAACCCCTTGCAGACCTGCAGCAAGGAGGAGACCAACTTGAAGATGTCCGAGCCTGCCCCACAAGACTCCAAGTACCTATGCGACACAAATTTTAGTCCCACAATTATTCGCAATAATTTGTTCCTAAACATTTGGGGACCAAAATGTCTTGTGTTTGGGGAATTGGGCCCTCAGGTATTCCGCGCTAAACACGTGCTCGACTCGTGGCGCCAGCACGCTGGGAGCAAGAAAAGAGTCGTGGGCTTCGGTTTATAGACCTCCCAGATGTGCGCATTGGTTGCAGGTAATTGAAACATAATAGCAGCGCCGGCTATTACTGGACTTTGTGGAAGTCCAGGTGAAGGTTAGAGTTCCCCTACCTAAAAGTAGGCGATGCTGACTGAAGAATTATTTGTCTCGTATAAGTATTTCATGAGCAAAATCAACTGCCTCAAACTCCAACCCTAAACCCTAAACCCTATACAATGAATGAAGCTCGGAGGTCTTGGGTAAATGCCGTAGAAACAACAAGCGGTACCTCACAGCAAACAGTTGAGGGTTTGGGGTTATCCTTACACATGTGTGGATACGAAGTAGAGGACCTTGTCTCAACATGATCTCTACATACACTCCCCCAAACAAACATGGAAACCCATATAGTCCCCCTTTAAAGGGACTGTAGACTTTATAGGGCCCTTTTTGGGTTTCCATGTTAGTTTCCGGGAGGGTATTCCATGAGAAGTACTGCCATAAGCCCCATACAATCCTTATTTATAACTCTGTAGGGACCTCTTGTTTGGGAAGCTCCGATAATCCTAAACCGTGTGACTCGGCTTGTTCTTCTACAGGACGATGTTGGGATGGCGAGGCCATTCCCCCGAAACTGGCAGGGAAACCCCCCTAGCAAAAACCTTCTATACAGATGATTCCTCCTCCTGCTGCTACATATTGTCCTTTCAAAAACTTAAAGGACGCTGTATTGGTTTTCATGTTAGATTGAGGGAGGGTAAGGTTCAGCATTTTTGGGGTTCTCCAGAAAAAGACGTAAATCTCAAGCCTGTAGGTATCCGAATATGTCCAACGGACATGCCTTGTCCCGAAGCACTAAAATCTAAACCTGAGCCGTTCCAGCGCCTCAAACGTCAAGTCCTAGACCTTAGGGGCAGTCAGCAGGTAGCAAATAAATTAACCGTGGAGGGTGCACGTGTCCAAGTTGCAGGGTTTTAGGTACCACGAGGCCACTGTTTGGAACGTGAAGCCCCAACACTTGAACCATGGATCATGAGATTGCAGCTGTGCAAGCATGCTGGCGTCAACTTGCTTCGTGGGGATATTTTGCTCAAGACACAGCAGCCAGAGACACGAAGAAACAGGATGAAGCAAGCATGGAGCCGCTTTTAGTCTTCGTGGACACTAATAAGCCTGCATGACGCTGGGCATCTGATACCTTGACACGTTCGGTACTATAGTATACGAAGGTCATGTAGGACATGCTGGATCTTAAGCATCAACAGTAGGTATTAAAAGCACGGTTCAGGCAAATCGGATTCTGTCAAACTGTCCATGTTGGTGGCTCTCTTCCCAGCGCATGTAGCATCTCTCATAACGTGTGTTGTTGCTCCACGTCGCAGCTGGTGCAATTGTCCCTGAACCCAGACCACGACCCTTAGCACCCCTACGCCCAAGCCCTTCAGCCCCAATTCCCTATGGATCCCCACTTCCTAGACCCTTGAACCCTGAATCGCAACTACTTAACCCTTAAACCCCCTAAAGCTGACCTCAGCTTCCCCCCAAGAACCCTACACCCCGAAGCCCCCCAAGCCCCAAACTCCTTAGCCCTAGACCCTAAACCCTAAACCCTAAAGACCTTAAGATCTTCCGAGCTTAGACCCGGGCCCTCAGATGCTTGCGAGACGTGCGCCCCTGCGTGCCGGACTGTCCATCCTGAGGGCACAAGTTGTTCTACAGGGTCTGGTTTGGGGTTTCCAGGGACCCCAATTTAGATCCATGTATCATAATCCTTTGTTATAGGGTCCGGGTTTGGGTTTCCAGGGACCCCACTCTAGATCCATGTGCCATAATCCTTTGTTATAGGGTCCGGGTTTGGGTTTCCAGGGACCCCACTCTAGATCCATGTCCTAAACCCTAAACCCTAAATCTAATCCTTTGTTATAGGGGCTCCCAAAGTGGGGCCCGTTAATGAAGAATGTAATGGACAAGAACATGTGAAAATGACATGGCAACCAGGATCGGATAGTGGCTTAGAATGGAAAGCAAGTTATCTTTAAAGAAATTGGTGCCTATGTAGGCATCTTGGTCTCAAGTTAGATGCTACTTAGGTATTTGGACCCTTAGGGAAAGGTCCCGGAAGTGCCCACCATTGTCAACACGGCATGGTTCATGGGTAGTTATGAGAGCGCACCCTTACGTAAACCCCAAACCACCGAATAAACATCAACATATTTTAACCCTCATCATGGGGACCCCTAGAAAGGTACCCCCTAATTTTGGGAAACCCTAAACTCTATAGATCCTCCTATACCCGTATATAACCCCTATAACGGAACCCGCCTCTAACGGTTCCCCTAATTTTGGGAAATCCCGATGTCGGTACGAGCTGCTCCAGACTTCTGGGTTTAGGGTTTATACCGTTTCTGCAATATCGCAGGAACCGGGTCGGCAGCCTTTCTAAGTGCCAAATCAAGGCCAGAATGCTTCAAGCTTGAACCCTTAAAGGGGAACCGTATGATCTCGAAGCGTATAATCTCTGCATGTAATTAGGTCCCTTGAAATGAAACCCCTATTCTGACAAATTGTTTCTGGGTTGAAGCTTAAATTAGAGGGCCGGGCTCCGATAAGTAATTTGTGGCCCACTCAGGAGAGATGTATTCAGAGTAATGAATTACAAAGGTTTAGGGTTTGCGGTATAGGGTTGATAGTTTATAGGGTTTAGAGTGGAGAGTCCGGCACGACAAGTTTTCG